TTTAAGCCAAGAGTATTTTTTTCAAGATAAGGATATGATTTTTTGAGTTGTTGATAAATGAATGAATGTCATATTTTTTATTATATTTTTCTAATTTCTAACTGTAAAGTGTTGTTTCATCATTTTTAAACAAAAAATATGCAATTGTGGTAAAGGGACAAGGGTGGGCGCCTTGCCCCGAGCCCATTTTGACACTTTTTACAAATAGTGTTTCATTAACAATTGAATAATTTTATAGACGTCTAATTCACATCATACACAAGAGGTGAACTAACCTGACCAGGTTATTCTTACACAATCACACATTCACTAGGTTAAAAATCTTTCTTATTGGCAACTGTTTCCTTATCTGAGAGAGACGTATTTCTGTAGATACAACTCTAACGTTATTACACTTTGCATAAATTTTGAAATCAATAGTATCACGTTAAGCACATAAAAATATTTGCTACATTTATTGAAGCTTCTCATTTGATAAAAACTCATTTCACAATTCAAATTGTGACATTTCATTTAGTCAGCGTCGAGGATGGAAAGCTGCTTAACTCGTTCTTTGTGTTGCTTGCGAAAAGCCATCAGCGGTCACGTCACTGAGGAATATCTTCACCGATTCAACCGTCCTCCATCAGCTACCACACGTGAGCGTTCTGCCGTCTTTTTTCCTCATACTGTTGTTGGCCGAAATTTCATCTCTGAAAATTTTCGGTTCTAAATTGTTTCATTGAAACTATCGATACTTTAATGATGCAAATAATAATACAAATAATAAACTTTAATTTTAAATTTGGCCATAATTAAGCTAAAATGTTGTTTAAAATCTTTCCGAAATAGATAATCCAGTGTGCTGACATTCACTGATATGATTCCCATGAATGCTAAGGACTTCTGATCCATCAGAGGGTTACACAGCGGATGCTTCGAATAAGATGGAACACTCTTTTTCGAGTACAAATTTACAGCATTTTTGCTAAAGCTATCAACTTTGTTAATAGTAGAAAAGTACCAATGATGTTATAAAAGATTTGTAATGTTGTACGTTAGTCAGATTTCTTTACTCTGACTTGGATAGCGGAAAAATCCAGTTGCTGCTGCTGTTGTATTGCCGTTTTCAACCTAAATTGTAAAATTAGTTACTTGGTTTGATTCTCGTGTAATTATGTTGTTTAAATTTATAGGGAATACACCTGCCAATTTGAGTTCATGCAATTTTTGGCGTATAATGAAGGCTTCCACGATCAAACCAATGCATTTCTCATCTTTTTAGGTTGAAAGGGAAACAAGTTTACAATCTGGTCGTCAGGCCAAGTTCGGAGCTGGGTCTTCTGGACTGGAATTCTGTGAGACTGCGAGGCAGTGAAAGTCTTCGTCACGAATTGCTTGATGATTTGAAAGGATTGGTTAGATTGCTTGCTGCATCAGGAACGTCGTTAAAAAAGCACCTTACGCCATCGCCCACGGCCGGCCCTGATGTCTGTTTCAAAACTCGACATGAAATTTGAGGTTCCTTTGGTTTCCACGATGGCTGTATCACTCGAGTGTAGTCGACGGACAGTATTGAGAAGCTTCTCGTTATTGATGAGTGGCAAAGCAAAAAAAAAAAACGATTAATTTTCGTTCAATGCAAACTTAAAGCGTTTCGTAAGCTTTCCATTTAAGGGTATATCTTAAATTAAATCTATCTCTTTCTTTCAAAGGGCTGTAAGAAACGCCATGAACTAAAATGTTTAGATGATATGATAATTTTATATTCACATAATTTTATTCACCGCAAAATATTATTTAAACTGAACAAAATCTTCCAGAAAAGAATATGATTGTCATTTGTCTAAAACTTGTAACTCGAGATAAAGTTTTCTCGAGCTAATTTCCTTCATAGAAAAAAGTTTCCCATATCCCAGCACCAATCATGGAAACTTCGCCAGAACCAGTAATTAATGGTACCACAGCTTTTCCTGTGGTGAAGGACTTANTACTCCAACGGTGGAGCTTGCATACTCCAACGGTGGAGCTTGCATACTCCAACGGTGGAGCTTGCATACTATAACGGTGGAGCTTGCATACTCCAACGGCGGAGCTTGCATACTCCAATGGCGGAGCTTGCATACTCCAACGGTGGAGCTGGCATACTCCAATGGTGGAGCTTGCATACTCCAATGGTGGAGCTTGCATACTCCAACGGCGGAGCTTGCATACTCCAATGGCGGAGCTTGCATACTCCAAAGTTAGAGCTTGCATACTCCAACGGCAGTGCTTGAATTTTTAAATTATAGAGAATATCAAAAAACATTCAAGAGTAATAATGATATCAAAGGAAAAGTGATAATGACGATGACAAGAGAACAACAGATAGAGTGATAGTGAATGAACGTGCAATGAAAGTTTTTGCAATTAGTTTTTGAGGGCTGTTATGATTTCCTTATTTTTCGATGTAATCTTTTGGATTACATCGAAAGAAACAAGTTTCTCATATTATCTAACGTGTAAAAGTCAATATATAAATATAATACCTTCAAATGGTTGTAAATTCTGTAAAAATTGTTTCTATAAGCTTAACGGCAAAGTTTTAATCAGCACAATACCACAATAATTTATAAAGCTCAAAATAAATTTCAAAATCAGACAAAATTAATTAGGCCCAAAATTCAATAAAAGTTCCCAGTTTTGGTAGACCATTTGTAAACAGATGTTTCGCACATTATCTGATGCCCGATCTCGGAAATACCAGTCAGTGTCATGATATTTCATTTTTCAAATTATAAAACGAACGAATTTGCTAGCAGAACGAAAAAAAATGTGACACAATCTTGAATTACCATTGCATCAAGTCCTAAGGATGTCAAGACCTTAGTCAACGTACATGCTTCTTCTGTACAATTAAATTGATGCCCAACATTTAACGCAAATACCATTCATGCAGGATTGATAAGAGTAACCCCCTTATAAAGGTAGACATTTCACTATTTCGACATCCTCCTCAGCATATAGCAACTGCAAAAAAATAATCAAAGATGCTGGCTCACAAAAAAATATTGCACACGCCCATTAGTATAAGGCAACGCCGAAAAAAAACAATTGGAGATGGTGGCCAGCAAATATATACATCTCCAAAATTTCCTCTCCATATTTATTTCCTTCTCCTTAAGTGAGCATGAACACATGAAATAAAACATAAATTTAGACTGAAGAAATGGTTAGATAAATTTTTGTGGGGTAAAATTAAAATCTTAACTATAATATTAAGCGACGTAATTTGCCTTCTAACGCAACCTGTTGATATCATCAGGTTAAACGAAAAAGAACGGAAAGAAGGTAGAAAGACGGTAATTTTCGTGCCCCTCTGGGCACGGATTTTAACGAACGAGTGCCCTCACAATGAAGTGTGTCATGCGGGGCTCACAAATGTGCAATGCGGGGCTCACAAGTGTGTCATGTGGGGCACGCCTAGCTGTTCTCTCTCACAAATTATCTGTGTCGTGCTGCTCCAAAGGATGAGTAATTCGGGCTCTAGGAAGAAAAAAATTGCCGAAGAAAACGGAAAAAAACATTACGTATTTGTTCAAGATTTGGAGACAAGATCGATAATTACATTTAACAATTTAAAGTTGTGCGCGCAATTTGAGTATTTTATCGAGACCATTTTTTTGAGTATTTATGAATATGAATTGTGTGGTTTACCTCCAACCGAAGCATTATTGCTGTGCAAGCATTTAAAATTCAATTCCAATAACATTCATTGGCAATTAAACTATATGTTTTTTTTTTAAACAATCTTCATTAACACAATTAATCAATTTTTTACCGCAATTCAACATCGGGGCATGTAAAATGAATTAATTCACGCAATTTGTTTAACGCCATTCATCATGGAGACATGTAAAAAGGGATTCAATGAAAAGGTCATTGTGGTACAAATATTTCTGTTAAAACTGAAAAGATCATCCATCGAACTGACTATAAATTTGATCATTAGTTATGATTGGTTTGAGAAATGTGAAATGGCAAGCGGGAAGCACTATGCAGAAAGCTTGTATTTCTTGCTGCAAGTTCAGTTTTCGTAGTAATTGCTTTGACCCATGTATTCAGGATTTAACTTTAGCATTCTTTAAATTTTGGTCGTAAGAAATTTATTCGGTGAAGTTCTTGAGCACTGAAAATGATTTTTGGGTCATAGAAAAAATTTTGTTCTATTAATAGCTGGTATTTTGTGGCAGAAGGAGGAGTAAATTCTCTGTTAGGCTATATCAAAGTAATTGCTAGAATTATTCTAGGACGACGAAAAAACAGTGCTGATATTATTTATGAATATGAATTGTGTGGTTTTCCTCTAACCAAAGCCTTATTGCTGTACAAGCATTTAAAATTCAATTCCAATAACATTCATTGGCAATTAAACTATATGTTTTTTTTTTAAACAATCTTCATTAACACAATTAATCAATTTTTTACCGCAATTCAACATCGGGGCATGTAAAATGAATTAATTCACGCAATTTGTTTAACGCCATTCATCATGGAGACATGTAAAAAGGGATTCAATGAAAAGGTCATTGTGGTACAAATATTTCTGTTAAAACTGAAAAGATCATCCATCGAACTGACTATAAATTTGATCATTAGTTATGATTGGTTTGAGAAATGTGAAATGGCAAGCGGGAAGCACTATGCAGAAAGCTTGTATTTCTTGCTGCAAGTTCAGTTTTCGTAGTAATTGCTTTGACCCATGTATTCAGGATTTAACTTTAGCATTCTTTAAATTTTGGTCGTAAGAAATTTATTCGGTGAAGTTCTTGAGCACTGAAAATGATTTTTGGGTCATAGAAAAAATTTTGTTCTATTAATAGCTGGTATTTTGTGGCAGAAGGAGGAGTAAATTCTCTGTTAGGCTATATCAAAGTAATTGCTAGAATTATTCTAGGACGACGAAAAAACAGTGCTGATATTACCACTTTATAACCTACAATAAAGAAAGATTTTAGTATGATTATCTAGTTTGAACTTACCTCAACATGTTGCAATCTCTCCGAGACGAGCTGGTGAATTGTCAGTGCGAAATAAGGAGACCTCAATGCTCCTCAACTACCGACCTTAATACCCAGAGACGCTATGTGTTTCAGGTCACTAAATTCAAAAGATAAACGTTGTTCTATTAGATGAACAATAACTGTGAAATATAGAACTGTTCTTAGCTGGGTCTCTTCATTTGTTAGGCCTACGTGCTAAAATCCCTATAAGTAAAAAGCCGCCCCCTAAAAAGAGATTTGTGCAACCGTAGCCTTGAAGCCAGTATCAAGCAAGTGAGAGAGGGGAGGAGCTCGTTCCTTTGCAACCACACACGACCAAGTCAGCTTCGCAACTGCCGACGGATTGGAAGTCTCTTACCATGCAAGCACAAGTTCCTGGTTACAAGACAAGTGTACCTAAATGGTTACAGTTCATTTGGATCGAAGACCTGTAGTCGTCTATTCATAGTCGTGCCTGCCATGAGTAGTCTATTCATGAATAGATGTTTAAAAATGCAGATATTAATCGTAACTTTTTTCAGAATCCTGACGATCTTATGAGTTTTTATTAATTTAACGTTTAGTGATTCAATATCTTTTTCGAGACCTAATTGGCGTGAAGCACAGCCAGAACCTGCGTTTAAGATATGAAATTGGTACAATAAATCTCATCAAATTTTTTTTTGACGCGTGTAAACCCTGAATCAGATCATTTTATTCCATATTCTCAAAGACGGTGGATCGTGATGCACGTCAATTATCTGAATCTTTCCGCTCAAAACGAGAACTCGCTGTGAAAACTAAATAATTTACAACGGAAAATTTTTTAAACACCAGCAAACGTTTGCTTGTAAACACTGAAACAAATCAACAGCATTACCAATTTGACCGATGTCGTAATTAAAAAAATCTCTTCACAGCGAGACGCTCAGCTGAGTCAATGAGATGCCGGTCATGCACTGCGTCGCTCTCGTCATGCAAGATTTGCATTCCTGACGGAAATAATTTTCAAGTGTCGTCAAGGGCCGACAAATCAAATTTGAGAGCCGGATTAGCTTCCCGGTTTGATGACTTCTATTGAAGCATGTAATGGACAATAATGCTTGGATGATAGATTCAAATCGTTCAATCATGCTTATATCTGTCGATAATTCAAAACTAAGAATTTATATATAAGATTTCTTAATTTTCAATACAAGCATCAATATTAAATTCAAATTTTTGTTCTTTGTGAAAAAATGTATAAAAATTTTGGTGCAGCTTCGATTCGTGTGACGCGNTCGAATTCTCGAACACTAAATCGTATTACGTTGAATAACGTATGCATTTATATTGTGTTTACTTTACTTTTACAATGAGAGCATAAGGAAACGTTTAGGGCAACTAAGTTACCAATTTAATGTTTATTTAGATAATTATTCGCATTTCTGTCTACTGATCATCTATATGATTACTGCTATATGTGTGGAAGTCACACGAACGAATCGATCTTCGAATTGTCTACATACGTAAAAGATTATTAATGATGCCAGGATATTAACGTGCAGTGCTTCTGGGTAAATTACTAGTTTGTAAATAAATATCTTGCCTGAATAAACAAGCATGAGCCTCACATAAGGAAAGTGGCTTCTGGATTGGTTTCTACAAACTCGACTTGCCAAGAAAAGGACGGCTATCGAATTTAAGTTGTTACATCATTCAAACAAAAACAGCTACACCAGCAAATTTCATATAAAAATTGTCTTAATTGTTCATAATTTTTAATGATTTTTCTTGCAATCAAATAATATTGAATGCAATACAGCGACACTGCAAAGAATTGCACGGTAGCTTCAACGCAGTAACTCCACGCGCTACCGGCTCAACCCAACAGCCCGGACCACTTAAACCCAGCCCCCCTACTACCAGCGATACCACTTAAACCCAGCCACCCTACCACACCTGAAAAATAATTTAGTATCTTGCAAAATTTTGCGATCTACAGCACAATACGGCCCTTAAATCAAAGAAAATGTTCTAGATGGTTTTAGTTTTTCAAAATAATAATAATTATCCAACATTAGAATAATGAAATTCCCTGATATGTAAGCTAACTTATGCAGTTCATTTAGAGGAAAAATTCATTACAATCATCACTATTTAACCGCATAGAACTTTATCGTAATTTTAGAATCACTCTGAATAATGTGTACCATTTATCTTGGAAACAGGAGTACTCTCATTTTCAACATAGGTAATTCAGTTATCAATGTTTTACATGTGTTTATAATTTGAAATTAAACTCATGGAGATTGGCTGATGAGTAAAATTTTAGTTATGTTGTTGGTGCGTTCGCATGAACCTGCAAATCATCACGGCACTCGTTGTTTATTTCTAAATTAAATATCTTGAATATCATGGTTTATTTCTGTTATACAGGTAGCATCATGTCAAGATAACCCACCCATTTAAAATTGTGCGACGATACCGACGCAGGGCTTAGCCGAGCCTGTCGCGCTTTAACCGGACGGAGCCGTGAAATAATTACCGGCCAGTTATCTCTAAAACAGCGCTGCGCCATGGCGAATATAGAGCAAAACTCCAACAGCCCCGAAGGAACGGAATACGGCGCTTTCACATGGGGGTGTGCGGCAGGGTGCCGAATTAAGCAGTTGTTCAGGCCCTAAATTACATGGGGGGGGGGGCGATTGAGAGAAATTTTAACGCGGTAGTTAAATTTTAAGGCAGAGAATAGAGCAGGCCACCGCCGGCTGTAGTGTCTACGTAAAGACTCGACAAAGACGCGATAGAGCAGAAATGTCCGCAGTAGAGACGGTATCGCCAGTGGCAGAGCAGCGCTAATTAACCTCTGTCAAACTCTCTTTAGGGGCTCTGTCCTGTGGACACGCTGCTCTCATCGAGCTCTGCTCTTCCGGCTTGAACCATCTCAACGCCCGCTTTGGAGCGGCTCTGGCAGTACCCGCTGCAGTTGAGCTTTTTCGTTGTTCAATAACTATTTAGTCAATTTTTTCCTACACTCGTCTAGATTACCTATACCTTACTCTTGCAATGAAACGTTATAATATCAATTATTGCCGAATATTCACACCGTATTAACACAAGTAACGTCAAATCATAATTACTAATTTCATTAACAATCAAACAACAGCTTTCAATTCAATATTCAATAACACACCTCTATGAAGAAACGTCGACTACAGCCCGGAGATTCGAACGCTTGTCCGCAGCGTCATCAGGCAGCGGCAGAAGCGCCATAACCATCTAGGCACTTGCCTCAGCTGGTCTCAATCAATTACTTAACTATGGTACAAATGCATTCCAGCATGTCGTCCCGCAAGCCGAGGAATAGCTAATATATTTGGTTGAACTGGGTAGATATTATTCAGTCAAAGTAGCTATAAATAAATGAAAACTTTACTTTTCAATGGAAAAAGGAATAAATATAGGAATGGGTAAAATTTTCTTTCTCAATCTCGTTAACAATTATTGAAGGCAGAAATGCAGAGCCAGTACTGCCTTTCTTATACAACTTATCGAGGCGGAATATGAGATTTTCGAGCAACAGAAGGCAATCTTGTTCATTACATAGATTCTCATTTTAAAAACAACTAGTTTTTTCGACTTGTTTGACCTCATATGATACCGTCAGTTGGATGTTATTAAATAATTGGGTACAATTAATATCACAATTTTCACAATTATTTTATTATCACAATTTATTTATAATTATTTTCATCGCTATAACAGACGCATTGGCAAACGAGGTAGATTTTTCATTGATAGAAAAAGTCAACGCAATAGTAGAATAACTCTTGGAATAGAATATGAGCTGTATGATGAATTTTGCGATTTAACAGTTTTTAATAAATACATTATTAATTTTTGCAGCAGTTTCAGAGCCATTAAAACTTCTAGGAGAGATCTATAGATTTACATCGTTTAATAGTTTGATGGAAAAATTGTACATTCATGTAATAAAATATCTCAGGTCAAACTATTGATTTGTACTTGCAGTACACGCACAGTTGAAAGTAAACGTTTTTGTTTGCGATATTGTTCAAACGGGAAGAAAAATAAAAATTATTCCGATTTCATGGATATTAAATAAAATAATTATGTAGTATAAAAATAATAACTGCCATCAGAAAGGGACCCGATTATGTCACATGAAGAAAATAAAGGAAGGAGTCCCTCTCCTGCCTTCAACTTATATTCCTCACTTTCTCAAACCCCTTCTTAATTAACTAGCCTAACCTAACCTAACCTAATCTAACCTAACCTAACTTAATGTAATATGCGGCCTGCATAGCTGCTCTGCTCAGCTTGCTGCCTCGCGATTCATGTGCCAGCGCCGCGTTTCGTTCCTGCCGAGCTATTATAATTATTGTTCTCTATATTAGCCGTGGCGCAGCGCATTTAGATTGCACGTTATGGTTTCACGGCTCCGTAGGATGGATAGATGGCCGGTTATAGTTTCACGGCTCCGTCCGTCTTAATTCGGCCAAGAATATCGCCGATCGCGGCTAAGAATTTTGCCTGGGAATCATATTGTGTAGTTAGTTTCGCTTTTAGCACCATAAGCGGCGAAAACAAGTGCGAGCTGATGTTGCATCCTCTAGAGAAGGTTAGTCAATTAAAAAAAAATGTACGTCATAAATTACATGGTCATTAACTGCTGCATCAGTCTAGGTGTATTAAGTGTTGTTACTGAAGCAAATTGTGTTGCTAGTTAGATTACCTTTTTGATAATTTATAGGGCGACGTTGCCAAGTTTGGATGGCACCAAATTTTTTAATAATGAAATATTATCAATGACGGATCGTCTGAAACTATTGAGATGTTAAGTAAATATTGTCTGTTTCGTTTATATCGTCCGAATCTATGCGATTTCACTTTTTACACTTAATTTTGCGTCAATATTGTTTTACTTCAGAATTTAGAAAAATTAAGTTAACTGCGTTATATAAAGTTATTTTCATCATTATAACATCCTCATTGGTAAATGAGGTACAATTTTCATTTAAAGAAAAAGTTAACGCATCAATGGAAAAACGCTTTGAATATGAGTTCTATGATGAATTTTATGATTCAATAGTTTTAAATAAATATATTATTAATTTTTGCAGCAGTTTGTGAGCCATTGAACTTCTAGGTGATAGCTATAGATTTACATCGTTTAATAGTTTGATAGAAAATTGAACATTCAGGTAATAAACTTTTTTATGGAAAATGAAATAAAATAAAATGTATAAAATAAAATCGTCATAATTAAGTTCTTTTGTGGAATTTTCATTACTTGCATTTGCTTAATGCAATAATTTGCTCGCAAAAATATTGAAAAG